TTCTGGAGCATTACTGCTGCAGCCTGAATTTAACCATAAACTGCACTTAGCTTACCAGCTGTGATTATTCGTTATCGTCTAGCTAGCTCTGCTTTCTCAGCTCTCAAGCAGTTCCCGGTGTCCTGAAAACGCCGGACGTATCACTTTTCACAGGAGCCGCGGCGAAACCTGGAAGATGCACGTTTCCAAGCGGCTATCTGTGACAGGTGATGGTTTTGTTTTCGGAGAGCCCCCTACAGGCAGGAAGTGATGTCATCCATGAAGGTCAGAAGGCAGCTTAGAGCAGCTTTCCCCACTTACCCCCACCCACCCATCACCACCATGCTCTCCGGCGCCCCCTAGTTGAGGGGGACAGCTCACTCAGCCTACACAGCACAACTTGGACAGTTAATAAGGAAACTCATTTACCAGGATAGTGTAACAGTTCTAGTATTACACCCAAGAGCTGGATTTACAATAACAGCTAATACTTCAATAAATATTTTTACCATTAATGCTTATAGTTACTGCAGGGATTTCAGAAACGTTTACTCCTTTTTTGCCGGGAAGAGCACAACGTAATTCTGGATTTTCCACGGTGGCTTTTTCCACCTCAGCAGCGTGACATAGGAGGCCCTGTGCAGGTCAGTACTCAGGAATCCACGCTGTTCGGGTTTCAGGCTGGGAGGGACCACGCCCCATGGGGTCAGGAGGCGCAGGGCCAAGGAGGGAGGTGGGGAGAGACGCACCTGGGCTCAGCGACAGCAGCGGCACGAGGTCATGCGCGTACCCGTGGGCTGTGCAACTGAGCGACAAGGCAGGCTGACTAAGACTTGCCTGCTCGCCATGTCATGATCACGACACAAACGCACCTCCGTATTCCCAGCAAAACACCAGCAGCTGACACTGTGGGCCCAAGCTGCTCCTAGAGACACAAGATTAACACTCATCTAGTGTCATCACCATTGTGTTCAGGCATCTAAGAGGACAGCTAAGAGGTCCTCGGAGGTGACAGGCGCTTGCTCCAGGCCGTGAACATCAGGCTTCCAGGACCCTGACCCGCCCACTGCGGGCCTCCCACGCCCTCCATGCCCATGCTGCTGCTGCAGCCTTCTTCCCCAGCAGGGCGGGGGTCAGAGCCAGTGAAAGCTGCTCAGACACACCCTGGCAAGGTAGCGCGAGCGAGCCGCCCACACCAGGCCTGTTTGTGCGCCTCTCTGGAGAGGAATGGGCCTTGGGTTGCAGCGTGGCGAAACACGCCCTTTCACAAACAAACCGGAATGCTGAGCACAGTCAGCAGTCCAAATCCTGCCTGAACCTTTAAGGCACGGCTAGCTGGCTGTTGCCAGGTGTTCAGGATGTCGAACATCTGCACCTTGGCGGCATTTCGTATTAAAAAAAATCAATTCCAATTACCACCAATACTTTTGGAAAACTCAGACACCCTCGCGCAGGGCTTCAGAGACTGCAGTTCCCAAGACCTCCCCAGCTGTGCCGCTCCACGGCGTGGGAGACTGTGCTATCCCAGCATGCACTGCGCCCCCAGAAAGGGAAGCTCTATATGAGCCAAGCGACAGCCAAGATTACACAAGAGACCAGAAGTGACCGCCAGATAAAGGCCAGCACACTAAATGCATAGCAGGGAGGTCTATCGATCGGAAGCGTCTTCATTTTGGTTTTCAAACTCAGAAGTCTCCCTAAAGCTTAGCAGTCTACCGCAAAAAAATGTGCCTGGACTAACTTACAAGAATTTAAGATATTTTGCCCTCAAAGGTGAACTATTAGATAGTAAAAATGCCGCAGCATCCACCTGAGGCTACTAACAGGTATATTCCAGGTCCGCAGACCAACACGTAAAGCAAGTTCTACATAACTACAGGACACCATCCATCTATCTATCTTCCAGTCGCTCATGAGGAACAGGACCGTGGTGAGCCTGGGGGGGGCTACAGGACCGGAGACACCCTGTGTCGGCATTTCATCCATCACGCGCGCACGCGCACGCACACACACACACACGCGCACGCACGCACGCACACAACAGCTAATTTAAATTCCACAAATCATCTAGTTCTCGGAAGCCAGAGGAAAGGTGACACAGTGATTAAATGTTTAAACTCCTCTAAATATGGAAAGTGACAGAATGCTGCCTGCAGGACGCTACACAACGTGACAGGAACATGCTAAATCTGCAAACAGAGAGGGGGCAGGATTCGACCCCCCCAAGCTTGGAGACATGAGGCGACACTGCTACCCACTGACCTGCATGGTAATCCTGTATTCCAACTACAGTGCCGAGGCACGAGGGACAGAACACCGGCCTTCTCCAATATTATTATTATTATTACTGAGGTGTTGTTATTAATAACAAAATAATATTGTTAATAATACAATTATTCTTATTACAGAAAATGGGTTCGAAGGTTATAAAAAAACATTTTACCAGTCAAACATAATGGAGTATGAGGGAGCAGGAGGTCTGCCCCCTGCCCCCACGGGCGAGTCCATCCATCCAGATCACCACAGCACTCACCTGTACTGCGCACTGAGCACCGGTGACCTGTGACCCAGTCGGCCTGTCGGTTTGTCGGTCGTCCTCCTTGCTACGCTCTGATGCCGGCCATACAGAAAGCCTTACGTCTGCCACTTACGTCGGGTGTGATCACGCGCACTTGACAGTCTTTGTTAGAGACATTACCAGCATTCCTTCTATGTTTGCCTTGAGGCCACCCCCCTAGAGTGGCATCTGCCACGTTCTGCTTTAAGGAGAGTCATCGGTCCCCAGATCCTCCTCACCCGAGTCTCATAGTTGTATCGGAGACGCATCCTTTTGGGATTCAAGGGCACAGGATCCAGGTAACGGGGTAAATATCCCGGTTTGTTAAGGGTGGGATGTCTGTGCACCATATGGAATGTAACACAAAAAGAAAATCCAGTAGTGAAGTAGAACATCTACAGTACAACCCAGCCGGAGTCGCAAACAGCTCCAGCTCGGGGAATCGGGAACATGAGGTTCTGTTCCGTCTAGACATCATCATATAAGCAAATCACCCCTTTGGTAATACTGACATCACGTGCAGCCAACTAAGATTAAAGGCCACAGGACAGCACACAACACCTGGGGTAGCAAGGAATCACCACACGTGTTAGTTTTGTTTTCATGAGGGTCTTTCTCAGAAGTTAAGAGCTGGATGGGTTTGGAAATTATACACACACTAAACCTAGTTGGAAGAGAGACACAACAGCATTAAGTGAAGCATCACCGTACTGTCAGATGAGAATGTGACCTCAATCTGACCTTTGACGGAACTACAGTTGATGTGACTTTGCTTATTAAATAATCACACAATAACGTAGCACAAAGACAACAGGACAGTGGCTGAGGTACTCTAACGCAACTAATATGTAAATATGAGTCAACTAAACAAATGACAGAAAAAACACCACTGTTCAAACTTGGGTCTGACAATAAACATTTTGCACCCAAGTGAACTGATCTGAACCCTATAAAGGAACCACACTGAGCTGTGAGAAGGCAGTGATGCCGACTGATCATTGAAACTGTCATACAAGTACTAGCCTTCACATTTTGCTTTATAGGCTACCGAGAGGCTAATTACAGTGAAACTGAGCGAGGGTGTCATTCTGACACAAGGCCACAGCGCAGGGAGGACAGGAGCGAAGCCAGGGCTGTCTTACAAAATACAGGCACCCTGATGACACAAAGCTGTTTGTTCAGAGGCTATTCAGAACTCAAGGCTACCCTCACACGAGTGAGATTTAATAGCAAGCACACTAATGGGTCATTACTGAGAGACGCACAAAGGAAGATCTTGGGATTAGCATTTTTATAAAAAAAACATTACAACTGTCCAATGACTAATAAACACTAGCAACCTCTAACACCGACCAACTAGCCAAACTGTCCTGGTAAAAGACGAATGCTTATTATAATAGACACGAGGTGACATCAGCCTTTGAAAAATGATCACATAGTATTACACACTGACATCCCTGCTGTCAACATGCAAGGAAAGCTGGGTCAGTGGTAAGCAGAGCGGACAGTCTGGCTTAGATCTGAAGGCCCTTCATTCATTTCCACGGGCTGTCTCTCTCAGTTGCCATTTTCAGATAATAAGAAATGGAAAAAGCACGTGAAGAGGCTACATTGAAACTTCACGTGTTTGCCCTTCCAAGATAATCGCTTAATTACACCATGTAAACACCTTATTAAAAAATCTTTTGTCAATCCTGTCAGACGTGAGTAATAAATCCGACAATTTCCTATGATGGCTGTTAAAAAAAAGACGCAGAGGCACGAAACGATTTCACTACATGCCATAAATATGCCATTATAAAAAGTAAACGAAAAAATAAAACATTAAAATAAACAAAGCTATATCGTCACTAGCCCTGTGTGGAGAGAGGAGTGCTGCCATAAAAATGAAAGTTAAGCCAAAGTTGGGTACGACAGATCATCCCACTCAGGACACCAAAAAAGATTTACGCGTATTTCTAAAGTATGACCCCTATCAATTTCGGGACGCGCTGATCACGCGCCGCGGCGCGTAACCTCACTCGAACCATTATAATAAGCTTATTACAGCTCGCGTTTAAAAAGTCACCAATCCTCCTCCAAAGTGGCAGGGACAGCGCGATTTAAGAGCAATTAAAATAAATGCACCGATCTGGATGCGAAAAAGCAGCAGCACGATCCCTAACCTTTTCCAAACTATGACTTTGCAACCGGCCGGACGAGTTAGGTTTTAACTGCACGCGAGAACCTTTAATGAAACTATCAGAAGTATAAAATATATGGATTCGTGTCGGTTTTGTTTTAAAAGAGAGACAAAAGTGTTTACATTTCCCCTTTTCCTCCCAGTTATTGAACTGAGTAGCCCCCAGCTGTAGTTGTGCATGCGGAATCGGTATTTGTCTGACAAACAGCGAACAGGTAAGACGTATACGAGCGATACGCCGGCGTTTAATGCGAATTAGCGCTAAATATGAAATACACTTACTGTTTGTAGAAAGAGAAAAAGCAGTCATTTGGGCTCCCCTCCTTTAATCCTGGCAGCAGATGATGGGCATTCCCACCACGAAGAAAGCTCCCCCTCTTCCTAACAGCGTGTAACCTTGACAAACCACGGAAAACGCCTTTATTATGTTGCCGAACCTGTTGCTGCTAAAGAGCCGCCCGTAGAATCACACCAACAACATGGCTGACGACGGCGCAGCGCTGGATGCCATTCAGCCGCGGCTCTGGTGGGAGGAGACAGCGGCGCTCCGGTGCTCGGCTCCCCGCACTGCGCTGCGCCCCGCACTGCCCTCTGCCGTCGGAGCTGCGGAATCACTGCAGTTAATCTCGAACTCTTTTAGCGCCCCGCTTCCCGCACTGCGCTCTGCACCGCCCTCTGTCGGCTGAGATGCAGAAACACAGCATTTAATCTCGAACCCTATTAGTGTTGCTCTTGTTTCAATTCGTGCACTTAACTTTTCACACTGGTTTAGCTCCGTCTCAGGAACATGATCCGATTAAAAACACGTTTTTTTTCTTGTGTAAATGAAACAGTTGTATATGTTTAAGTTAGAACATACATAGACTGGCGGGATCCAGGGCAACACTTGACAGAGGCCTCTGAATACGTAAAACTGTACGTAAAATGGGGGGGGGGGCAGAATTTCTAGGTACACCCGAGTCGTTGTAGGATGGATGGATTGAAATACACAGATATACACAGAATTACACAGCAGAACAGCAGATAATGCCAGAGAAAATTCTTGGTACAACTGGATAAATTCAAGAAACAACGAGTTTGTTAAACACTGCCTGTTAATGGTTATTGATTTCACAGAATAAACTACTGCTCCTGACTAAGCATGTAGTTTGTCCTTTTTAGAGATAAACCCTGTCGGTATATAAATAACAATTTTAAGATTCAGAAACCAAGACCAGAAAGTTATAAGATGGCATTATAAAAAATATTTAATTTCATTAATCTGCCAAGCCCACCCATAGATCAGGCCCTATCACAAATTAATGTGTGCAATTTAGGACATAACTACTGGTTCTTATGAATGGACTGTATCAAGTATGTCTAAATCACTATATTCAGATTCAGTATTTGGGCTTTTCTATCATACTTTCATCTAGATTAGTGGTTCTTAACGTTTTATGTACCATGGAGCCCTTTGATAGTCTGCTGAAGCCCATTCTGACCTTCTCGAAATAATTACATGAAGATATCAGTAATTACTAGTGATATAAAAACTACTGCTGTGTCTTGTCACCTACATTTAAGTGTATGGAGCCCCTGAACAGGAGTCCTGCAGTAAGAACCCCTTAAGTGGTTATTTTTCACAACATAACCAGTCATATTCACCAGTCATATTATTCTACCAGTAAAAGTAATGAGGAAAAATTTAAAGGAGATATGTACAGAATCATTTTAATGAGACTAAGAAGAATTTCAATTTATTAATGAGAAACTTCACTAGTTGTGTGGCTGCAGTAACTTGGTTTACTAGGGATAGGTATGTAAAGTTATGTCTGCAAGGTCAGAATTAAATGTAGTGTCTAAAAAGGACAGACTCTCCTTTATTTGGATATTTATCACTGTAATCACACTGTAGCCCTGGGTAGCATTGATATTTACTGACATTTACAGTGATGAAGTAACATTTTACAATTTGTGAGATATTACACTCATGTCTTACAATAAGTCATCTCTAGAGATAGATCCGAGACTAGCTGAAGGGAATGCATTTTTAAAAGGCCCCAAACAGAACAGCTATTTAAAAAGGAATCAGAGTCTAGCCCACAAATGATCTCTTCCTCCCTGATTATTTCTGGACAGTTTCCATTGTGGCAAATAATGACATTTAATATCGGTGTTCCTCAAGCAAAATAGGAGTGAGACACTTTTGGAACAGCATAAAGGCGTCTCAGATCACTGTGGTCAACGCCCTTTCAGCTCTGAACGCTTTCCTGGTGAGACGGATTACCTAAGTGGTCTGAGGAAGCATTGTCGGAGTTTACGCAATGAAAACAGCATGGGCCATTTGTACAGACCAGGGCCACAGTGGTGGGGTGTAGCCACATGCAATGCTGAAAGCATGTAATCGAGTACGGTGTTAGGCAACTACTGAAGCACGGATGCAGATAAAATGCTAGCATGACATTCCCAAATAAGCTATGATTCCTCTTACACAATAGCAGAACCTTCCAAACCAGTTACTGTTATCATACCTCAAATTCAAACTCCGCTCAAGTGGATCAGCATTTGGCAAGTTGTCATGCGGCCGCAGCAGCGCCTTTCACAGCACTATTATTTGAGTTAGCTGCTATTGGAATGTATCCTATCTTGTATAAATATCTGTGGTATGACTGTGTGTGTGTATGGGTGGGGGGGGGTGTGTGGAACAGGGGGTCTGTGGGAGCTCACATCATCGCACATTTACCAAATAGCCAGGGAAAGGAAAAATACATAAATGAATATCAAGTAATTATTATGCAGTGAATAGTAGAAATAAACACCAACTAGACCAGGGATGACGGCCATGATGTCTGCTGTACTTTATTAAATATGAAACCCAACAAAAGAATCACACATTTGTTCTGACTGGTCCTGTACATACCACCAGGTCCACTGGTACCACACTGGTATTATATTTGCCCTTTCTGAAAGTGCCATCCCACTCTCAGGGCCAGATACGGGTCTGGACAGTTAAACCTTCGTATCCAATCTTCCATTGGTCAGGTCCCCCATTTACTTCCATGTGCTGCAGAAGGGAGCCCCGCCCCCCTTCGCATTTCTTTCCTCTCATTGGCTCATTTCCTTCTGGACCTCCTTCCAGATGCTCTCCTGGAGCTCGGCCGTGTCGTACTCCTTCAGCATGTCGTACTTGTGCCAGGGCTGGCCCTGCCTCTTGGCCTCCTTACGCTGCACGCTGGTGAGGCTCATCTCAAAGCGGATGCCTTGGACGTTGAACTTTGGATGCTCCCACCGCTTCGACCACGGCTTGGGCTTCATTCTCACCTTCACCTGAAGGAGACACCGTTTGAACACCAAACGAAAACACTTTTCTGCAACGCCGGCTCATATTAGACCAGGCCATGGCTAAACCTGCTCAGTTTAAGTCAACAAGTCAACGGGCAAAGTGGGCAACCCATGACATTAAAAGTGGGGGCTGGGGGGACATATCATAGAGAATAGGAGTGTAAGGGGCACACATATACGCAACTAAAATTTTCGGCACAGGTTTTTCAGCTCGGTAGGCAAATGTACCCAACGAATGCAGCAAATGCGGAACCTTTGTGTGTTTGTCTGTTGTGACCACGATCTTCAGTTTGAGTGCTGACCACTAACCGTATTGACCGGCACCTCGCCACTGAAAGAATACGGCACAGGCTTCATGTCGACATCGACTGTGCTGTACGCAGGCAAGGCGTCTCGGAGGTACATGAGATTGTCGTCCAGCCGCTTCTCCAACTTCAGCACCTCCACCTGCTGTATGCGGGGACTGTACAGCTCGTAGCACATCTCCACACCTAATAGGCAGCAAAGGGGACCCACCCCCCACATGAGCGAGAATGAAGCCAAACAACACATGGAATTCTCCATGGAGATGTTAAAACATATATAGTTGGCAACAAAGCTCACCAGCTACTCTCACTTAGCAATGCATATTAATAAAACTCTACCTTGACCGTCAATAATGTTCCTTAGGATAAAAGTGGCTCCCAGTCCCGATCCAGACCTTTGGATACAGATACCCACAAAACGGTTGCTTTTTCCACTGGCATATGGGTCGTGCATAGTTACTGCCAAGACGCTACCTGTAATTTGAGATTACAGCAATCATAGTTTGTAACAATCAGATCATTCTTACCACCATAGTGAATCCCCAGAACTATAAGAACATACAAGTTCTCACCAACATAGAATTCGGGGATGTTCAACATTTTGCGTCTTTTAGTCATATCTTTTCTCTCAATGGCAAACTTGAGAGGATTCGTTCTCTGCCGTGGAGGAATGAATTCCGGACTGAGAAACCTAAATGGAAAAAAAAAAAAATACAGTTAGTCATCATTCAAGCTGACTTAAACACAAGTTAAATACAAGGTCGAAAACTAGCGCTAGTCAGCTGAACATCATTGTTTGGCGATAGATAAGGTCCTCACAAACAATTCTAGTGCGAGATCGCGTTACGTGGAACAACTAACTATGTCTATTACATTCTGTATAAGTCTCACTTTCGGGGTGGTTCTGGGGGTTTAGTTTTATCCACAACAACCGGTTTCGTTGGAGGGATGAATTCGGGGGTCTGAAATGTGTTTCCTCCAGACGCATGCCGCAACAACGATGTGGAGAAGAAACCTAGGGAACACAAATCCATAAGTCCATGTTATAAATGCATTCCAACACTGTTTTGCTCGTAAGGGTTGACAATCATTTCTGGCCAATGAGCCTTAACGATCACGCAGCGATTATGATTCATGTTATGGTTTAACATAAATGAAATGACGTAACGTGAACAACACGCCAGTTTCAGCAATTATATTGCACAGATCCCCCAAACTTACGCTCATTCCAGTGCTGTGCGTTCCGAAAGGCTCGTAATGCACAAAATGCCAGGCTTGTTCTACCCGAGCACGCAGCCATGTCTACAGCGTATGACCTTACACAGTGACGTCTCCGTCAACACGTGCCACATGGAAGCCTGCGAGGGACAATATACACCAACATATACGCGATTCTCTGCAATCTCAATAAGAAAAGCACAACCAACCGCCAAATAATGAGGTTTTGTTAGGTTTGACTGTTGACGTTTTGCTTTATCAAATTGTCCACAAAACGTGTATTTTGTAATTATTATAACTATCAGTCCTGCCATCCCCCCCATAGAAATCTCTTTTGATCTTTTGAATTTAAACCTCTGCGATGCCATTAAAAATGAGACCACTAGGTGTCAGTGTTAAAGCACATATAAACATAATAAAACGATGCCTTCATTGAAAGCTTTATTTCAAAACCAGGTAAAGCACCATAATATAAAAGTAAATTTAGGTCAAGACAACTGTTGTAAAAGATTATGCCATCATCTCTATTGCACAAGGTCTCTACGTCATGGATCCCCAAGTATAGCAAACAAAACATTTCAGATTTTGAAAATCTTACTTTTCATTATTTCCGGAGACAAATACGCTATTTTCCTCAAAAGCAAATATAATGTGGCTTCTAAGGTGGCAAAAACAGAATAAAAAAAATGCAAATAGCAGCGTTGTTCTAAATTAGGTGGAGAAGAAAGAAGCAGAAGCAGAGGGCTTTTGAGCAGATGAATCAGAAGAGAAGCTTCTGGACTAGTTGAATCAAGTAGGTAACAAGTGAATTTGCCAGATCAACGCTTTGACCTGGTTGGTATCAAAAGTAACCTACAGATTCCCGGAGGTCTGGCAGGGTGTCTCTTCCTGAAGTAGAGCGAGGGCTGTGCGTGGGAGGACAGGTTTAGAAGGATTAGATTCCCCCCCCCAAATGTAAGCGCTGAAAGGAACAAAAACTACAGAGAATGTCTGTATGACTGAAAATGGGGGGAAAAAAGAAGAAAAAATATTTTTACTGTCAACAGGACTGCAGCTGAAAAAGCAATAAGTAAGTCGAATAAGATATTAATTAGGCGGCATAAAGACCAAAGTCAGTGTGACAGAAGCAGGGCGCTTTGTATATGTACCTCACACTAAATGTAATCTCATTCATAAAAATGTAGCATGAAAAAGAAAATGTGATGGAGGGGAAATAAAAGGGAAAAAAACAATCAAATTGTTAAGCAAGTCACAACATAAATCTAGAGGCAGGGAAAAGAATACGGGAAAAGATCACATAACAGGAAGTTTGAGAAAACTAAATAAAAATGAGAAAATTACCCTTTCGCATTTAAATGTCGATTAAATGTCAATCAAATATAAATTAAATATGACGTTTTCATAAAAGAAACAGTAGGTAGTGTGGCATGGTGACAGGACAGAGCCAGCGGAAGTCCCTTAAGTGAGCTGTTTGACTAATATTGCTCCAGCATAGACATCTAGGATCTTAACTGGTGTAATGTGAATAAAAATAATCAGTTATTTCATCCTATTAGATGAGGATTTGTTAACCTCAGAGATTGGCTGGTCTTTGATTAAGTAATGTTGTGGCCAAAAGAACGCAATGGTGTGTAATTGAATCGGTAGAGTTGTGAGCCCTTATAGGTAAATTCTGATCTCAGTATAAAAATCCTTCCCTCCACGTTAAAACAGCAGGACCCCTCGGCCTGCTGATCCACATACTCCATCTGCAGTGTTGTGAAAAATCCATCTATGTCACTAAGAAAAACCTAAATGTTCCTCCTATAGTATAAATGTTAATTGCACAGTTCCCTCTCTCTGCTAGGGTTAGTTGTCATTTCTTAATTATCCATGAAGTGTGCAAAGTGTGCAAGTCCACAAGCGAGCTGGCTCCCAGCCCCCCTGCAATTCTGTCCAGGCTAAGTGATTTAGAGATGGATAGATCCATTAATGGTAGGGATCAGCTGCTAAACACTGATCAGCCATAGCATTAAAACCACTGATAGGTGAACATTGATTATCTTGCTACAGAGGCACCTGTGAAGGTGCCGTTATATATTAGGCAAGTGAACAGTCACGTCTTGAAGTTGATGTTAAGAAGTCGGAAGAAGAGGTATACGTAAGGATCTGAGCAGCCAAATTGCGATGGCTAGACGACTGGGTCAGATCATTCCCAAAGTGGCAGGTCTTGTGGGGTGTTGCAGTGGTTAGTACCTACAAAAAGTGGTCCATGGAAGGAGAATCAGCGATAGGGTCATGGGCACCCAAGGCTCATTGATGCACAGGGGGAGCAAAGGCCAACCTGACTGTTCCAGTCCCACAGGGGAGCTACTGTAGCACAAAATGCTGAAAAAGATTAAGCTGGACAAGATCGAAAGGTGTCAGATCACTGCATTGCAGCTTGCTGTATGTGGGGCTGCGTAACCAGAGACTGGTCAGAGTGCCCATGCTGACCCCTGTCCACTGCAGAAAGTGCCCACAGTGGGTACATCAGCATCAGAACTGGACCAGGGAGCACTGGAAGAAACCTGATCTGATGAGTCACATTTTCTGTGGACAGCTATGTGTGTGTGTTGTTTACCTGGGGAAGAGACGTGACCAGGATGCACTATGGGAAAAAAGCAAGCCAGCGGATGCAGTGTGATGCTCTGGACAATGTTCTGCTGGGGAACCTTTGGACCTGGTGTTCATGTGGATGTCACTTTGACACATACAGTATCAGCTACCTAAACATTCTTGCAGACTAAGTACACCCCTTCGTGGCAGTGGTATTCCCTGATAGCAGTGACTTCTTTCAGCTGGATAATGTGCCCTGTTACTCTATAAAAATTGCTCGGAATGGTTTGAGGAACATGAGAAAGAGATCAAGGTGTTGACTTGGCCTCCAAATTCCCCAGATCAATCTGAGCATCTATGAGACGTGCTGGAGAAACAATTCCAAAGTATGGAAGCCCCATCTCACACCTTACAGGACTTAAGGGATCTGCTGCTAACACCTTGGTGGCAGATACCATAGATCTGCTGGTCAGAGCTGTTTTTGAGGTATGAGTGGGACCTGCAGAATATTAGGCAGGTGCTTTTAATTGGTGTATATACTGTACTATGATCAGTGTACATACCATCATTGGTGTTTATACCATGATTTGTGTATATAACAAGTTCATTATGACTTTCGATATCTGTAGTAATAAACCAATGTGATAGCTCCAATTGCCACAGGATGGCTCTTTAAAACAAAATACAAACACTTTACTATATTAGGATGACTTAGTTGTGACTTTAGTTTTTAATAAGGTATTTAATAGTATGTTGTTTTGGGCCCTATTAATCAGGAATCCTTATCAATCAATTTAATTCATTTATTATTCTACAACGACTGCGCTGGCAGTGACTGGCGAACCATCTGGATTTGTCATTCACGCTTCTCACGTTTAATGACACACTTTTATTAAGGATTCCACAGCTACGGCTTAGAGGTGGGTTGTTTCTCGCCCGCATTTCAGCACACGTCTAGATGGCATGCTTGTGCTGAGGTGTTGAAAGTGTTTCGATTTTGGGAGCAAGAACCGTTTCAAAGCGCTTGGGCTTTGAGGCCACGCGGAAGCACTCCCTCCCCAGCCCCCCCACCGTTGCCGAGATCGCATGCGAGCTGCGCCGTGCTACTCACTTGCTCACTATGGTCAAGTGACCGGATCCATGAACGATGGGACCGAGTGTCTACACCTTGCAGTCAAGACCCTGATTTACTCCAAACAGCCGAGACCGCAGCAGAAACACGGAGCCCGTCGTAGTTTCAAGGATGTTATTCCCAGATGTGACTTTCTCGGCTGTAAATTATGCACTTGTGTTGGGAATAACGTGCTTGACCGTCTTCTGCAACTTCACCAAAGGTTCCGCTGAGTTTTCAGGTTAGATCGCATGCCTATTCTATTTTATTGCAACATCTCTGTTAATTCTTTGTTATTTTTCACATTTATTTTACCCTCACCAACTCCTCATCTGGCATACCGCAAATGCGCACCTCTTGAATTGTTGCACAATATTTAAGGAGTGTGATGTGTACCCTGCGTTGCAGAATAGATCGGTAAATGTAGGGTTTTTGTTGTCTAACACAAAAGTGGCGTTAATCGATGTGTACATTATTAATGAGTATTGACAAGACCCACTTAAGTTATTTATGTGTGTAATTGTTGCACATCGCACTACACGTGTGGTAGGTTTTTTTTTCCTGTAGTGCCTGCATGTATGCGCTAACAGTACTTTAAGTAAGTAGGTACCTCATACAGTATAAATCTCAAACTATATAATCACCAAAGATATGTAAATGATTAGATCGGTGCGAGGCCATACTGTCTTAAAAAACACGTAACAGACAATGAGGAAGAGTTAAGCTATATAGAATGTCCTTTTTGGATTCAAGCTGATATACAGATATAGCCTAGTGCCCAAAATTGTAGAAACACTTCCACTTTTTAGAGATTGCAGAACTTTATTCAACAGTTGCTCCAGTTACTCATTTAGTCGTCCAAAGTATGATATTTGTAAAATCAAACATAGGACGATTAAGTAACTGGAGCTGAATAAAGTTCTGCAGTCTCTAAAACCACAATTTTGGCCACTAGTGATTGGTTACTAAATTGACCACGGATGTATAAATTATCGCATGTAATGCATTTATCGCAAATAAACGTTGATTACTGCTGTTTCATTTTATTCCATTTATATATGGAATATCTTCCTAAATGTATAACATACTTTCGTATGACTCCGGTGTGTAGAAAACCTGAGTTAAATAGGTGTTCAGAAAAAGACATCCTGCAGCTTTTAAGATTAATTTAATTCTTCCTAGAGAAGGCCATCTGGCAAACGCAGTTAAATGCAACCTATAATCTGTAGTGCTGACTTGCATTAGCCCGTAATGACTTCTCTAATGGTCGGAAATGGCAGACAAATTCGGCTCTCGTCGAAGGTGTTAAACACGTGTGTTAATCGCTACATGTGTCGAGTACACGAGAACCTTTTTTAAATTAGAGGTGATATTTATAGTTTTCATGGGTAATCCGGAATGCTGCAACAAGAACAAGATCAATAATACATAATGCATTTTAATTGACGGTATTATGATATGCCTATATTTAAATCAAATTTTAAGGTGGCATGACTGCAATTACCTTATCGTTTGAATGGTTTCATTTTCAAATCGCTTTCAACTTCGCAAAGCTGCCGAGAAAAGAAGGTGTAATCAAATTTTATTATAATTACAAAGGCACCACCATAATATTACATATTACATTCCTAAATTGTTATTAAAAGTTAAAATTTTTGAATTAAACATCCCCTAAATGCTGAATAAGTATTTTCCAAAATACTTCACCTTACCATTTGAAGACAACACAGGACACAGTAATGGATGTATTTTCTAATCAGCCAGCTTTGTATATTATTTTGTCTTTTTGTTGAAAGATAAATTTACAGTCAGTTACCCACGTCTCCTCCCCCCCCCCCCCCCCTCCCCCCCCCCCCCCCCCTCCTGAGCCCGGTACTGAATAAGGTTCATTCAGAATTTTTTTCTTCTCATGGCGAGTTGACTAAGGACTGAAGGTCTGACAAGTTTGCTGTAAACAGCCACGGAAACAGAGCTCATCGACAGAGAAATATAAAAGAGCGTCAGTCTCTGTCCTTTACTATGACGTGAGGGATCTTCCAGAAAACGGACAGTGACGACAAACGCAACATTAAGATGAAACATGGAACAAAATGCAGGAGAACTGTTAGAGTGAGACTGCGGCCCCCACCCCCCCACCCCCAGCAGGGATATGTCTGTCCTTTAAAGGTGTGGTTAGGGTTGTTGCTGGCCACACGTGTTACCTACAGGCACAAAGAGTGCGTCTGTGGACCCTTTTCCTCAAAATCGCCACCAGTGGTGATTCAGAGCTTGGGATAGAGAACCTCGCAAATGAAGCAGTTGCCAGGCAGGGCCTTGTAGAATCTGGGTGGGTCTCTACCCCAAATTCCACTTCCAGCTGCTTTGGGAGCCGGCTGAACCTGGCCAAGGCGGCGTGAAGTATATCCCTCTGGAAGTGGCTCTGGGGGGGTGTTTGTGTGTGTGTGTGGGGGGGGGGGGGGGTGTTAGGGCATGCTGGATCTTTGCATGGGAGCACATTAAAACAAAGGCACATTATTCGCAGCTCACAGAAACTGGCATTACATTACGGCACGGACCTTTCTAGAAT